TGTACATGTACCAGCCACCAGGTTTTGTGGACCCGGATCATCCCCACCATGTTTGTCGTCTTCACAAGGCTATCTATGGACTGAAATAGGCTCATCGGGCCTGGTTTTTTCACCTATACTCCTTGCTTCAGAAAGGGTTCACTACTTCTACATGTGATAGATCCCTGTTTATATTGCATAAGGATTTTGTCACCATTTTTGCCTTGGTTTATGTGGATGACATACTCCTTACATCCAACTCTCAATCAGCCATTGATCATTTGTTGGCCCAACTACAGCCCAACTACAGTCCACATGCCAATGGTGATCGTTTCTTCTTATTTCAACGGCGCTATATCCTCAACTTACTTGACAAGGATGAAGTGCTCGGCTCTAAGCCTATCTCCACACCAATTCCCCAAAATGCCTCCTAGTCGTCATCTGATGGTGTATCTCTTGATGACCCTACCTTGTATTGGAGCATTATTGGGTCACTGCAGTATGTGACATTAACACGACTAGACCTTTCATTTGCGATCAACAAGGTATGTCAGTTCTCCATCAACCCACCTTGATGCATTGGCAGGTTGTCAAATGGATCTTACGATACTTGAAGCACACCATTTCACTAAACCTTGTCATCAACCGCTCTTATCTTTCCTCTCTCACTGCCTTCACTGATGCCGATTGGGCTAGCTGCCGAGATGGCTGAAGATTTATAGGAGGTTTCTGTGTTTTACTTGGTGGTAATTTATTACCTTGGAGTGCCAAGAAGCAGCCGATGTTGGCTCGCTCCAACACCGAATCTGAGCTACAGGCGCTTGCGAATGTTGCTACAGAACTGATATGGCTTACCTCTTTTCTGAAGGAACTTCATGTTCTCTCTCTCATCGGCTCCCACCGTCTAGTGTGATAATGATTGCACCACGTACCTTGCTGCCAATCCCATGTTTAAAGCCCGCACAAAGCACATTGAAGTGCACTTCTACTTTCTTCGTGATATGGTCCTCAATCAACAGTTGGATGTTAGGTATATCAACTCTCATGATCAAGTGGCAGATATCTTCACCAAAGGGTTGTCCTCTTCCCGTTTCACTCAGTTGCATTTCAGGCTCAACCTTACCCCGTTGACCTTGCGGGGGGATGTAAAGGATAAATCTGAAGAGTTCTCGGATAACTCTTAGGCCATCGATATCTTATCCTTAGAATCCTTATCACTAATAACTATTGTACAACGATTCCTTATCTGATGTAAATATCTAGTTCAAACTCAATCACTTGTAAACCTATATAAGCAATACAATCTTCGCTCATTGTGTGTGCGATTTCTATTTAACTCTGTATCTGAAATCAGTGTTTTTAGGCAAAGACGATGAAGAGACTTTGGGGTGAAAACTTCTTCAACCCTGCTACCAAGAAGTGGACTAATAAGAACACTGGTTCTCTTACCTACAAGTGAGGTAGCTCCAACTACAAAAACCGTGAATGAAAATTTCCCTCATATTAGATTTTTAGTAGAGAAGGCAAATGAGAAACAAAATATAGAGATTGGTATCTCAGAAGGAAGAAACTCAAGAGATAAAAACCAATATAACCTGAAGGGGTAATTTGGGATTTAAAAAAGTTCACCCATTGATGATGTCATATACAAACGATTCTTCACAAATTGCTAACAAAGGAGAGGTATTTGTTTGAGGATGTCATCTTACAAGGGAAGTCCTAATCTATGTTGAAAAATGAGGGGAGGTAGAAATTTGAAGGGAGGTTTAAGTCTTTTATCTCTCTCTCTAAAGGAAACACGACAACCAAAATGTAGAATAACCTCGGCAATAGGTTGTATCTAAAACCTTAGGCTGTGTTTGTTTCTCGTATAAATGCAAATCGGCGTAAAATTCCACTGTCGGATCGCATTTGTTTTCAGTGAATGTAGACCGATATAAAACTCCAAATCCAATCTGTATTTTTACACGCTTTTTTTCAATGTAAGGTTTGTAAACCTTCTCATCGGTTGAGTTTTCCATTGATAATCGGCATTGAACTCCATTGATCTACATTGCAGCCTTCAGCAAAAAAGCTAATCAAGCAATTCAATTTAAATATACATAATATATAATTAAAATTTATAGAAAAAATATAAAAACCACCCCTCAAGTTTCACTTAACAAAAACCTCTCTTGAACTTTTTGCAAAAGTCAACGAAAAATTCTCTTCCATCACTAACTCAAATGGAAAACGTTTGACTGATGCATTTTTTCGAAATGCCCATTTTATCCTTTTGCATATGATTTTACATAAAAATTTACTTAAATAACCCTAAAAGAAACTTTAATTTGAATAACCCATTTATTGTCCTCTTTCAATCTCCCACCCCTGAAACTCCAGTGAAGAAAAGAGGAAGCATTCAGCTATGAGCAAATGAAACCTGGACGTTCAATCTGGCTTGCAAGGCATTTACAACAATTGCTATTACTATCGTCGAATTTAGAAAGCAAATGAAACCTGGATAACAAAAAGATCTTCTCACAACAACTGTGATTACAGCTGCGTTTATGTTATGCCGTTAATAAGAATCGAACTAACAAAAAGTAGATTGTGCCACCGTACTGCAGAGGTTCAATCTTTTTGACGCCAAAAGAGTTTATGTTCTGATCAAATTTAATAACTGATTTCTGCAAAATTCATTATCAAAATTTGGAAGTGAAGTGATTAAAATACCCCCTACCCCAAAAACAGTGATTAGAATACCCCCACCCCCAAGAAAAAAATGTGAAAAAGAAAACATACAAATAGAAAGAAAATGAAAACTAGTTAAAAGAGCCTGATCTAAGAAAATTCAATATAGCAAAGGTAAATAGCAAAAAATACATTTCACTGAAAGTAACTTCAAAATGAACTAGGAAAAAATAAGGCTACTTCAAACTGAAGTCCAGAAGGGAAGAAGACCAACCTGCTACAAGAGAACCTTTGTTCAACTCCATTCATGATAGCTTTAGTAGTTTTAGAGTGAGCCTCACTAACTTTGTGTCCCTTCTGGTAGTCCTTTGAAGTTTGAAGAACTGATATCCATTTCACAACCATGAACTTGGAACAGGGAGTCTAAGAATTCAAATTCATCACGCGAGCTCTTTTGTAGGTATAGCTGAACTTGTTGTGCATAGGATCAGCTTTTCTTTGGAAGATTCGCGATTTTGTGCATCTCTATGGTCAGGCAACCTTCCCAGCTTCAAATCAATAAGTTGAGGAGTCCCTACTATTAGATTCCACTATGGAAATTGAAAGGCTTTAACATAGCTCCTCTTCTCTAAATAATGCTTTCGGAATAACTACACAAGGAGAAGACTCTCTTTCACCTTTGGTCCTACCTCCCAAAAACCCGCCAATTTGGTTGTGAAGAAGTGGCTTCTTGGTGGCTGAAAGGAATCCCAATTCCATGAATCCCTGGTTCTCCACTCAAATCCAAGCATGGTACTTTCACAAGTGTTAGGGTTGTACATGGGTCGGTTCGGTTTGATTTCATTTATTTATGCCAACCGAACTGCTATTATAGGCTTGACTATTAAATCAATCGAAACCGATCAAAAAAGAGATAAAATTGATTGAAATTTTGTTTTACACATTAGTCGATTTAATTGTTAACCGAATAAGGGAGATGGATGTCTGTTCTTCCCAAGAAATTGTTTTGACCGTTTGTAATAATGATGGTACAGTATTGTTGGTCCTACTTTCAATTAAAAAGTTATCGACCAAAAGTATTTGTTATTCAAATTTAAATCAAGTAATTTATTTAATTAAGATTTTAGAGTTAAGAGCATCAATAGACCACTTTTTAATTGTGGCTTTTGGGTTTTACATTTTACTTAATGAGAGATTTAAGACGTGTTAATTGAGATGACAATAAGGGCATGTTCATTTGCTCTAAAGTATGACATCTGAAAGTGTAATAATTATATTAAGAGGTATATTGGTATTGATGAACTTTTCTTTCCTTTGAACTCTACAAATGCAAAGAATGTTATTCTGAATTCTGAATTTTGAAATTACCAAATATCCATTTTGACTCCATATATGAGAGTTTTTGTTCGTCTTTTTGGATGTATCATTGAAAAATAAAAAGTTGCATGATTGCACTTTAAAAGAAAACAAACAACCATTTTTCTCTTAAAGTTAGAAGATTCCTCTTAAGAGAAAAGAATTAAGAGGAAACAAACATGCGCTAAGTGGGGAGGAGAAGAGGTGTCAGACACGAGAGAGAAAATTAATCATGGGAAAAATTAAAATTTTTTGGGATATGTACCACAAATCCCACATTTGGCATCCCATGCTTTTTTTATGTAATTCTAGGTTTACAAAGATATATATCCACAACCAAACCAATTTATTGGTTTCTAGAATTTACAAACCAAAACCAACCAACTCTTTTATAAAACCGAATATTTTGGATCAAGTTGATTCAGTTTGATCGGTTCATAAAATTACATGAGCAGCGAACACTTTTCTACTTGCAAGTGCATCAAGGTGACTGCAATTTCCCTTATTCTTGACGGCCACACCACTCTACGCTACAGTGGCTGATTGGTTCTTCTTTTCTTGATTCAATAGAGCTTTGGGGGTAGGAGATGGAAAGAGATGAGGACAACAAATAAGTTATTCAAGTTAAATTTTCTTTTAAGGTTATTTTAGTAAAATTCAATCTCTAATCATATACAATAAGATAAAATGGATATTTTGAAAAACAAATAATGCATCAGTCAAATGTTTTTGTTGAGATCAGGGTAGGTTTTTGTAGAGGTTTTTATGTATTAGCCAAATTTATATCTTATCTATCGGTGAAGTTTGTTAAACAATTGTACCTTCACTAATTAGTCATAGAATCAAGTTTCACACAAGTTATTTTCAATTCATATTTCAGTTTATTTCATAAATAATATTCTGATTGGAATATATTCGAATCTAATATAAATCAATCAAATTTGGATCTGCCTACATCCGATTCCATCCGATCTTTTAGTGGCCCTAAATGGTACTACACGTAAGCTACTAATAAGTATTCAATTTAAACAAGATCCAAATAACCACCAGAGTACACATCCTACTCAAACTGTCAGTCACACTCCGAAGGATATTACTGAACAGGAGAAAAAGCCTACAAATGTATGTGGTAGAACATGTAATACGAACTGAGATGCCATCAAAATTTTCAAGAAACGTCCTGGATATTTTTAAGCAACAAGAATTTCTAAGCAGTTGCTGACAAAAAGCCTCTTCCCGGTTGACGATCCGCCAGAGGTCCATGGCAACCAAGAAGCTGCAATTTCAAAGAGACTTCATTAGTGTCTTGGACTTTTAAGTAGGTTCATGCATGGTTAGCAGAAAGAAAAATAATATTGGCAGAAAAACAGACCTTAGCGTTGACACCATCTGGCACGATTCGATTCTCTGACTTCCACTTCAGATAATCTGTACGACTGAATTTTGTGAAACCCCTGAAATACCAAAAAATAAGGCAAGTCATAATAGAAATTTCAATGATAACGCTAATACGAGTACCACCCATGCGAATGTAACCTAGTAAAAAATTGGGACTTGAGTTAATCGATTAGGCAGAGTTGCACCAGACCTTGGACGAAAAGCATGCTCTCAGGGGCTGCTTTTTAGGAAGGGAGACAGGAGCTTTAGTGCATGTTAAATTATCTCCCTCCCCTAGTTTAATCTACCATGTACTTTGAGAAAACAGGAATATGTAGGCCAGGTTTGGGCCCACAAAATCAAACCAGCAGTTTTTCTGATCATTACCGGAATATAAATTTTCTTCTTACCCTCTTTCGTCAGGAAATAAAAATAAAAATATTATTATTATATTTTAATAGGCTCAATCACAAGTCGAGCTTGAATAGCTCGTGATAGTCTGGGGAAATTTGAACCTGCACCAGAATTCTCTTCCTGACGAAAGAGGGTAAGAAGAAAATTTATATTCCGGTAATGATCAGAAAAACTGCTGGTTTGATTTTGTGGGCCCAAACCTGGCCTACATATTCCTGTTTTCTCAAAGTACATGGTAGATTAAACTAGGGGAGGGTAAAAATAATTTTTATAATTATTTTTTGTATGTAAAATAAAAAATTATATGTACAATTTGCAAGCTTTAACTTGCAAGCCAAGCCAAGCTTTTGAACCGAGCTCAAGCCAAGCCAAGCTTTAACTTGCAAGCTTTTGAACCGAGCCAAGCTCGAGCTCAAGTCTCTAGCTCGAATTGAGCTCGAGCTCAAGGTTGATCCTAACACTTTCTGTGAACCAAAGCTCGAATAACCAAAGCAGGTGCAAGAACTCATTTGATCTCTATGCACTTTACCATGTTTCATGCACCAATACCTGGCAAACTGGTTTATCATATACATAACATTAATGTAGGATAAACATATAGAATAAGCATTCACACAACAGTTTCACTACAAAAGGAGGTCCCCGTTTCCTGTCTTTCAAAGCAAAAAGGTGAAGCAGTTCTCATGAATATGCAAAACCAATAAATAATTATTAGGATAAACTAGACAATGGAGATAATCCAAGATATTGAAAAAGAACAAAGGAAAACCAGTGGATGATCAGGGTAGCAATAGCTGTTGGACAACAGAACACTAAAACCAGACCACCAGTCCAGAACAGTCTGATCCTTTGATGCCCACTTTTGTTTTTAATTTTTCTTCTTTTTTAAGGGTGAAAGGAGAATTTACATACAAATGTGGAAGTGCAGAAAACCGGGAAAAAAATGATCTGTATGTTCTTTTTTACTTGGTTTTTTTTGTTGATCAGATCACTTGAATTTTTTTTTATGAATAATCACTTGAATTTTTTTCATCAACAAGAAAAAGAACTTCTTTTAAGAAAGAAATCCTTGCCCAACAAAAACTAACGAGCAGGGCACAAAGAGATAGCATTTAGCTATTCAACCCCATGAACTGAAGAAACCTGAAGAAACCAGAAATAATATTAACACTCAGCACCCAGCTCAGGATATCCTCCATCCTTTGTAACCCCCAATTTTGCTAATGAATCTTGTAGGGAATTCTATAAACAATTTTAATTGATACACGCACATTTATTTATTTAAACTGACACCATTTAAGGGTCTGCAAGATGGACAAAATTTTCCATTACCTGGTTAGTCAAGAGATCAAGAGTATTAAGTGTTAGTCCAAGCCCTGTGATTTTTTTTCTTCCAAGCAAGGTTCAAAATATCGATACGCAGTAGTATCAATAGCTTTTTTTATTTTTTTTAGTTTTTTTCAAATCTGGTTCAGAGGGGCCGGTTTAAGAACTGTCCACCCCCTGAACCGGTTGAAACCCCAATACCACCTCTGTAGGGGTGTATCGGGAAGCTCCCAATACAATACGTATCAGCCAATACAGCCTGATACGTGTCAATACTTTGAACCTTGCTTCCAAGAATAATCAGGAAATCAACATCCCAAGATGTCTGGTACCAAGCTGATAATCTACCACTTATTCATCAGTTAATGCCATTTGAGTTTCTCTGCATAAACACTAAACAGGCATGGAGCACATTTGATGTTTGAATATGCCTGTTTATGCAGAACCACTGACATCACCAAACCATGGGAGTCTCATGGAGAAGGCCAATTGTTAGGAGTGCAACTTGGGTGGGCCCAACCCAAAAATTTACATGGCTTGAACCTGGGCCCAAAACCCTAAGTTTTTAAGATTTTCAGGCGCATAGCCCTTGGGTAGCTCCAGCCAGGGTTCAGAGTATCTATATGATACACCTACTTAAAGGGAGTTTTGAGAAATATTTTTTAATAAATGAAGTTTATATACTGTTATAGTTTTATAATATTTTGAAAAAGAAACTAA